TAAATAATTATTTAAAACTTCCAAAGGTGTGAGATAATACATATCCAATTTCACCACCTATATAAATAACCATCCAATTTAACATATTCAATATTAATTCTAATTATTTATACAAAATAATCATTTATCGAATTAGGGTAAAAATCTCCCTTTTTCCAATATTGACCCAAACTCCCAAAATCAATTATTTTGTCACACCAAGATCTTATATTCAAACCCCACACTCATTTACCTCATATTCATCAAAAACCCCTCTTTTCCTTTCACACCCAAATCTTAGATTTGTCCAAACCACAACCAAATCTCATCATCTATACACAATAGCAAATAACTAAGCTAAAAGCCATATTAAAGTGTAGAAAATTCGTACCTTAAGAAGAGAAGATGAGCAAAGCAAGGTTGAATTCCAAAAATGATGAAACTCGCTTTTACTTAGATCAATACGAAGCTCTTGAAGCCCTCTACCTTATTCTCAAAGACACTAGGGTTAAGAACACAATGAATTTAGATGAAATCTTAGAGAGAAGGTGAGTTTCTAGAGAGAGAAGCTGTAGATCTGGAAATTTGGAGACTTTTAGAGAGAGAAAATAGAAAATGATCTGCAATGTCACTTTCACGATATGATAAAGCATGGTCCACTCGAGCGTGGAAAGCCCCGCTCGAGCGTAAGACACAGACTCCCGCTCGAGCGTGGAAAAATTCGCTCAAGCGTCGAATACACCTTTCCAGTATTTTTATAGACAGGTCAAAGTGCAAGAACCAAACATTCTCCGCTCGAGCGGGGAAAAGGACGCTAGAGCAGACAAGCAACTTCGAATGCATTTTTCCTTTTTGCTTCGAGGGGCGCTGCCCCTCGACCTCGCTAGGGCGCTGCCCCGAACCAGCCAAGGGGCACTATCCCCTGGACCCCCGCGAGCTGATCGGGCAGTTCGACCCTTGACCGGCCCAGTCGAAGTGGCAAAACGTGAAAAAAGGATCGAAATTGAGATCGCTATACTCACTCTGTTGGTGTGGTGAGTCATTTTCTCTCTAATTCAGGTAAAGAACATTATGCACTAGTAAAATGGATTCTAAGGTATCTTCGAGGGATTTCGAAGGTGTGTTTGTGTTTTAGGGATGGTAAGCTGATGCTTGATGGGTTCATAGATTCTGACATGGCCGGCGGTGTTGATTCTAGGAAATCTACTTCGGCGTATTTGATGACTTTTGCAAAAGGAGCTATGGCATGAGAATCTAAATTACAAAAATGTGTTGTTCTTTCAACTATCGAAGCTGAATTTATTGCCATTACGGAAGCTTGCAAAGAAGAGTTATGGTTGAAGAAATTTTTGCAAGAGTTAGGTTTGAAGCAAGAAAGGTATGTGCTTTATTGTAATAGTCAAAGTGCTATTCATTTGAGTAAAAATTCTACTTTTCATTCAAGATCAAAACACATTGATGTGAGATGTCATTGGATTCGTGATGTGTTAGATTCAAAATTGTTGCAATTCGAAAAGGTTTACACAGATGATAATATTTCAGATATGTTGACTAAGACTTTGTCGAAGGACAAATATTTAAAGTGTCGAACTTTGGCGAATATAGTTGATGTTTCCACCTAAGCCAGTAGGGGGAGAATTGTTGGATATACCTATTTATTGGAGTATAGGACCCAATTAATTTATTAAAATATTCAGTTTTGTTTGGTGTTGATTATAATATATTTTTAATACATTATTTAACCTTTGAAAGCCCAATGGGTATTTAATATTTAGTTTGGTAGTAATTAGGGTTTGAATAAAAGCCCTAAAATTAAGAATATATATATATATATATATTATTGTAATAGTCAAAGTGCTATTCATTTGAGTAAAAATTATACTTTTCATTCAAGATCAAAACACATTGATGTGAGATGCCATTGGATTCATGATGTGTTAGATTCAAAATTGTTACAACTCGAAAAGGTTTACACAGATGATAATATTTCAGATATGTTGACTAAGACTTTGTCGAAGGACCAATATTTAAAGTGTCGAACTTTGGCGAATATAGTTGATGTTTCCACCTAAGCCAGTAGGGGGAGAATTGTTGGATATACCTATTTATTGGAGTATAGGACCCAATTAATTTATTAAAATATTCAGTTTTGTTTGGTGTTGATTATAATATATTTTTAATACATTATTTAACCTTTGAAAGCCCAATGGGTATTTAATATTTAGTTTGGTAGTAATTAGGGTTTGAATAAAAGCCCTAAAATTAAGAATATATATATATATATATATATTGTTTGTTGCCCTTTTCGAAGTCATGTGGCTACTTCAAAAACTGATCCTTTTTAGGTGGCTTTTGTTCTGAGGCTAGAAGCTTGCTATGTGAGTACTTTTGGATTAATTTCATCTTTGGTGGAGGTTAAAATTCGAAAGGTTTATTTCGGCTGTAGTTTGCAACGTTAGTGGAAGTTATTTTGATTCAGTTTTTGGGTCTTCTACAATTCTGTTTCGAAGATTTTTGTTCGTCTATTTGGTGAGATCTTTCCTTTTGTTCATTTGTGATTATTTGAAATTCACCTAAGGGTGATTTTATGAGACTATTCACGTCTTGTTTATAATCGTTTGGAAATTGTTTGATTGATAGTGGAATCGGATTTCGACCCCGTGGACGTACGTCGTATTGAGGGAACCACATAAAATTCGTATGTCGTTATTGATGTAATTTTTCCGCATTAATTTTTTATTCGCATTGATTGATTTATTTGTGGGAATCATATATTTTTCCTAACAGTTTCCTTTCAATCTTGAAGAACACAAAGAATATGATGAGGTGTTGATCAATTTTTTTTCATCTACTCTACATATTACTCTAGTCTTCTCTTTTTCTTTTTTCATTTTTCATTTTTTTTTTGTAATGCACTTTTTTGATCATTAACAGAGATCCACTTTATTGATCTAAAAATATAAAAAAAAGCTTCTTAGGGTCCTTTTTTGCTCTAATATGCCTTGTTGAATCTCAAAAATATACTCTAAATAAACCATCGAATTAGGGTGAATTATATTATTGATCTATATAGTTTAAAGGAAGTTTTATTTTGATTTGTAATTTTAATTTCATCAATTTAAATTTTAGACTTTCAACTACGTTTTAGAATAAATTACACTTTACACCCTTACATTTATATTAAATTTCACTTTGTTTCCTCATTTTCCAATTATAATAGTCTAACTCTTTACACTTTCAGTCAACTTGCAATGTACTTTTCCCGTTAGTTTGGTGTTAATAAGAACATCTCCAATGGCAAGCCATTGGAGCTACTACTACTAAATTATGACAGCAGTTCACAGAAATGAGGCTCCAACAGCAAGTTATGACAGCTGTCAAATTTGGCAAATGTCAAAGCTTGTGTCAAATTTAACACAAGCTTTGGTAGCTGCTATAACTATCAATTCTTATAAAAAAACTCCCCTCTCCGTCCCTCCCAGCAAAACATCCCTCCTTCCCTGACATCCTTGTAGAACGAAAGTTAGAAACTAGTGTATGTGGGATTTGTTTATCTATTGATTGATATTTGATAAAGTTGATGAGATTAGTTGTTCATATATGATCCTTCTCTCCTCTGCTAGATCGTAGAGGAGAGGAGGATCGTGATGGAGGAGCTTTGGAAGGAGATCATGATGGAGCAGCTTTGGAAGGAGATCGTTGCGGAGACCATGGCGACAAAAGGGAAACTGGGAAAGAGATCGCTCTAGAGGGGTGAGGAGGAGATCACGGTGGCAGAGGGACTAAGGAAGATATTCCACACCACCGCCATAGCCACCACCTTCGTCCTTGACGTTGTTGCCAAAGCCGAAGCAAAAAGCCCGTAAAACGGAGCTTGAATCTGCTGCTCCAAAAGCAATATCCACAAACCCAATTGTATTTCTATATATATATATATATCCAAAACCTGCAAAAAAAAATTAAGCAATCCTAAATGGAACTCAAAACCCCATAATGGATCTGTGGAGGATTTCATACGTTCTCTCTCAAGAACTTTATAAAATGCTTCCATACCTTCTCTCTCCATGTATGTATTCAATTTTAATGGTCAATCAGGAGAAATTTTTGAATGCTAATAGGGTATGACGTGGCTACCTTTCACTAATCACAAATGTACATACCCACTATTGTTCCCTAAACACTTAACATAAATGTAGTGGACCTTACTGTCAAAGTCAATCACAATAGTAGAAGGTATTACATGACATGTACCCTATCCGAATATAAAAATTTCTCGTCCATCAATGTAGGATTGCTGGACGTGAGGTTTGGAAGGGATGGTGGTGGGTGGTAGGATTTTTTAAGTTTTGGGTGTAAAGAGAGAGAAAAAAAAAGTTGGAGATAAAGAGTAAGAAAGGAATTATAGAAATTATGCAATAAAAGATAAAAAAAAATTAAATTTTAAAGGCGTAATAAGGAGTTAAATTGATAGTGTAAGTAGGATTTCCCTTATAGCATGTGACATTGTCTTCTTCACTTTGAGATCTCAACATTGCTACACAAATTTCGGAAGCCGGCGCTTCCGATTCCAATTGGTGTCGTGGGGAAAACAAAATGCAGAGGGCAACCTTGGTAGAGACATGTTAATGGGAATGACTCTTTTTCATATTATTATCCTTTATAGTCTTTTTAATTTTTATTTTGTGAATTTCAATCTACACCCACAACGATAAAAGGAATAATTCATTTCATAATTCTTGTAGTGAAAATCATTTATACAAAATATCAATTTTATCAAATATTAATTAATAAATAAACAAATTGCATTTTATTTATAAAATGAGCAGTTTAAGTTAAAATTCATAATTATCATCTATTTTAAAAAATAAAGTGCAATTTGTTTATGTGTTTAATAATATATGATATAATTAATTTTTTGGACAACTCATGTTTACTATTTTGATATGAGAGGTGTTTTGAGAAATTGGTTAAAAGTTGATTTTTTTGACTTTTTTAAATCTATTTTATCTTTTTGTACACTACTAAAAAAAATACTTTTTGCGACCGTCACATGCCGTCGCAAATAATAAAAATACAGTCGCAAAAGACTTTTTGCGACGGCCTATGCGACCGCAAATGGGGGACGCAAATGTGGGGGTGGCAAATACTTTTTGCGACGGCAAAACAACGGTCGCAAATTATTTGCGACCGCCTAAACTACTTTTTGCGACAACTATTTTGCCGTCGCAAAAAAAAAATAAAAAATTAAAAACACTTTTAGCGACCATTATTTTACTGTCGCAAATAATTATTTATTAAAAAAAAATCATATATGAGTTTGCTACAACCAAAAAAATCAATTATAAGCACCAAACAATTTTTTGTAAATGAAAAATAACAAAATTAACAAATTAATTAAATTTATAATAGACATTATCCATTAACCATCCTTAAATGCACTGTACTAAAAAATTCAAACCGTCAAAAAAAAAAAAAAAAAAAAAAACATAATCTTTGGCTCCCAACATCAACGGCTCGATCATATCAACTATTCCCTCAACAAAATCTGCAAAAACATATATCAAACTTGATCTGAAAATTTAATGCACTTCAATGTGTTAGTTTAGCTTGAAATAATCAAAATAAAACTATGTCATAGTGACCTCTCTCTATAGCAGATCAGTGATTTGCAACAAGAGTTTCAATTACCTTGAGAGTAACTTCAGGCTCCACCAGTGATCCCAGTTTACCATATCAGTTGATGATGCATGTTCTGCTAGAGCAAGACCAGCTCTCAAGATAGGAACAATCTGCAAAGCTAAATAAATAGTGCATCAGATGATGGCTACCGAAAAGCTATACCCTTCCAAGATTAAATAATTTCTAAAGCAGTTCACGTTCATAAATTTGTAACATTGTTATCATCAAATCTTAAAAAAGGGAACCCCAACTAGCTTGCAACAAATGTATTGTGGGGAACTTCCTATACTAAATACACAACAAGAAGATAAGAAATAAATTCAGATTATCCATTACATAGAAAGGAGAGACAAGAATAAAATTTTAAAAACGAGATTGATATACAAACTGCAACCGGTTCCCTTGGATCAATAAATTCTACAGAGGCAACACCCATTGGTGACTGAATCTCCCCTGTTATAGTAGGCTGCCAGCAATAAAACCATAACAACATAAAAACAATCTGAACAAGGTCAAAATTAATTTCCTTTCAAATCCTTCATTTCCCCCCCACTCAATCAAAACACTAATGCTTTATGTAGAACTAAGAATTCGAATTTAAAAAATTAGTATCTGTTACAACAACATACTCTACATAAATTATGGTTCTTTTGATTGTACCTTATCTAAACTATCAAACTGGAATTTTAAATTGGTGTGATTTTAAATTAGAACTAAGAATTCAAATGTAAAGAATCATGATTCCCATCACGAGGACAACGCTCACAGCAAGGATATGCAAACTAAATTTGCAGCCACATCAAGATTTGAAAATGTTAAAGGACCCTGACTTCGTTATTGATTCGTTACAAAAATATGCAGCTCATTTTATCTAATCAACCAAACAGTAGTACAAAATAAAATAGCAGACAGAGAGAGAGAGAGAGATGCAGTAACTTGAAGGGTCACTCACTAAAGATGGGGCAAGGAGTCTGCTCATTTCTAAGAACAGCAACCCAGTGCTTGACCAGTGGATGTAGAGGAACAAACACCTGAAAACCAACACAATTATATATGAGAACCTAATCGAATTAAATGCTCTCTTTGGTTACTAAGAAAATGCATGAATTCCAATGCCAAACAGAAATCAGAAATTTCCCTCATTCCCTTCAATTTTCCAGCACTTTCTCAGCAACCGAAAGGATGGTACACTCACCAGCATTCTATTTCTAGTAGTGAAACCACACAAGTCATGATCACTTAGTGATACATGATGAATGATGAACAAAATCCTGAAAGGCGATCCACACTCCATCGCTATACACTGCTAAAATAAAGAACAAGGGAAATGCCAAATTATCTACGTAAACTCATCCAGATAAGAAATAAGAGAGCAGATATCATCATTGAGTGCTTCAGAGTTCGCTGGTTTTAAAAAAATAGAAATTTATACAAATAGTGAATTGTCTACATACCTTCCAGAGACAAATGTGAAAGAACCCTCAATGGAGCCTGAAGAAGATGACAAAGGTGTGCAACTTTCGTAGACAAATTCTTTCTCGCCTGGAAATAAGAGAGAAAACTGTAAAGAAGCCAAAAGGGAAAGCATTATTACCAAAATGAACGAAAGGAGGACCAAGCCATCCATCCAATAAGTTGTAATATTAATGAAAGAAAATTAGAAAGCCCTTCTAATGTCTGAGAAAAAAAGGAAGCTTCTGATTTTGAGCACTTTGAGAAACCAATCTAGAGTGGTCAAAGAGGTAATTTTCTTCACTATAGTCACCAGATTTCCCTACTACGAGGTTATCAAGGATAGCTTCCTTCCATAATTTCCAATGGGTGTATGGCTACTAGTTTGTGGTGTAGAGTATACTGCCCCATTTTGTGCTCTATTTTGGAGTACTTTCAAAATTTCCTGGGTGTGCAAGTAGCCCTTTTAGGAGTATTGCCCCATTTTGGTTATGAGCAAAATAGAGACAATAAATAGATTTCATTTTCATTCTAGAACATTTTTCAAACCTATTGCTGAGTCCACTAATCCTATTAGCTATATGATATAGCATTATCTAAAAAGCTAAAGACCACAACAAATTTCAATATTTGAACCTGCACCGTCGGTTCACTATAATAGCCAAACAAGTGAGCTATATTTGGCGGTAATCATTGACCCCTGTTTTTGTCTCTTTACAAGGAGATTAAAGAAAACAATCAGATGCTGATTTATAGCAATAAAAGAGCAGCATTAACCATGTCATATATGAACTACACAATTCATGCGGATAAAAAAAAAAAAACTAAAGACGGGTCTAGGAACCACACACAATCTTGAATGCTACTCTCCCCAACAAAAACTACTGAACAATGTTGAGGCCATACATACACCCAAAAAGAATTGATTTAAAATGCTATTTCCATAACAACAACTCTCAGAGAAATAGGCAACCTAATTCATAATAAGCTGAAAAATTCATCAAAAGCAGAGAAATAGGTTAACATAATGTGTTAATAATTTCCTTTTGAAGAGTAGAGTGGCATACCTATTCATTTTCTTTTGAAACTTGTTGTGAGTCATGCTCAGAAGTACTTTATCAGGAAGCTTTCTGGAGAGAAGGATAAGAGGAGGTCTAGCATCCATGACATCACCACGTCTAATGTCACAGACACTAAATCTCCTTCGCCGGACGATAAAAGATTGCCTCCCTCATCAGACCACTCTGCCACGGTTGCACAACCACCTCAACATTCAAATATGAATGGCATTGCGAGGGCACTATATAGCTGGGACCCGTCAATTCAAGGAGCGGTCATGGCTTTTGACATGCCAAATAGCAGCCTCCTCATGGCAACTCTTTTGGAAATCATTTGAATTGGTGTTCCATTATTACACTTTTAAATTTGAATTTGCTGTTGTTTTTCAAAGAAAGAGGGTGAATTTTAACCATTCTAATAACTCAATGAGGATGTCGATGAACTTCAGCCTTGGAGGGAAAAAAAGTCTCAGTACGGTTCAACACTTGGAATCATTTTGTGCCCTCCACAAGAAACTTTTGTAGAGTTTTTTTTTTTTTTAAATGTCTGAGGATGAGTAGAGTGAACCTAATCAACTCTTGTTGTCTAGGTCAAGACAACGTTATAGCCCAATTCCGCCTTGTTTGGACAACCTCATTAGTAAAAAACAGAACACAAACATGCACTACAATCATGCTCCAAAACCGCAGTGTCAACAACCTATAAGCTTGAAGAGGCTATTTTGTATAACTTTCCTTAAACTGAAAGTTGAAAACAGAAAAGTAAAAAGTAAAAAGTTAAAAACACTTCTCTCACTGCTTTCAAATAATTAATTTTTCTATTTATTTATAATTTTACCTAAGCTATTTCTGCCTCATAAATTACAAACTGAAACTATAAAAAATACTTTGGCACAAATTTCTCAAAATAAAAAAACTATAAACAACTCTAATAAATTGGACCAAACAACACCGAACTCTATAACTTATAACTCTATAACTAACCTAGAGGCAGTGATTGGGGCATCTGGACTGGCTTCCCTTGGCATTAAAAGTAATGTCAACCTTTCTTATGATAATATTAAAAGTAATGTCAATTGATCTACAAGTCATCATCATGTACATCATCAGTTGTTTGGGTCACAAGGTCAGGGTTATATTGTGGATCATATCAATGATAATCAGCTAGTTCTAGATCACAAAATAATAAAATAAAAATTTAGAAATTCCTAAAATCATTGTATGATGGAAAAATTGGAGTACTATCATTTTGATGACTGAAGATAATCAAGCGTAATTCTTCATCGATAATCAAACATTTTGGAGCCATTTTTTTTTATCAAATTTGAATCTGATGAACAAATTGATGAACAATTGGAGATGCACAACCAAGAGAGACAAAATTGATAAAATTATAGAGCATTATGAGAAATCCAAATGAATCTAACCTCTAAAAGAAACAAAGAACTCCGAATATGATTGCCTAGAGTTGGAAACTAACCTGCTCAATATGTCCTTGAGGAAAATAGAACACGCGTTCGCCTTCACGAGGCACTGTCACGAGCGGACCAGCACAAGCGCGTCATAGCTCCGTGTAAAGTGCTGTTACAGATTCTTCTTGAGACAGATTCCATTACAGAGAAGTACATAACTCGGATCGTTACAGAGAGAGTTGAATCGATGAAGATGTGTTTAGGCTTACCGATTATGAAATCTTCAACAGTTGTAGACTTGAGAGAGTTGAATCGATCGAACAGATTCGAGCGAGAGAGCCAGTGAGATTCGAGCGAGAGATTCGAGCTAGAGAGGCAGTGAGATTCGAGCGAGACAGATTTTGAGAATGAGAGAGAGAGAGTTCAGATTTGGAAAACAAGAAGAAAAAAAAAAAGAAGGGATTGAGAGGGAGAGAATTTGGGGGTTTTTTTTTTTTTAAGTTAAGGACACGATTGGGTGACGAAAATGAGATTGTAAAATGAAATTTTGATGTCAAAAATGATTTTTTGCGACGGTTAATTAATCAGTCGCAAAAAAATAGACGCAAAAAATCATAATTCTAGTAGTGTGTAAGTAAGTTATGTGAGATGTGATGTGACTTAAAATGAGTTAAAAGATGAAAATTGACTTTTAACGAGCTTCCCAAAAGAGAAATGTTTCAGATCATTCTTGTTCGCTTAAGATGGAGCCCACAAAAAAAAATAGAAAAGTACGGAGAATAATTGTATGTAAAAATAGAAAAGTTTGGTTTGAATTTTTTGAATTAAGTTTTTTGAAAATTGAGTTTTTTGTTTTTCGTGTTTTTTTGTCTTTAGTGAATATTTTTAAAATTTTAAACATTTTTTTTACTTTTTTTAGATGCACCTTACTTAGATGTATCTAAAAAGTAAAAAATTTGTGAAAAAATATTTTTAAAAAATAATAAGTACATAAAAATACAAAAAAATGTACTGAATTTTTTTTTTTTTTGTATTTTTGGTATTTATTGAATTTTTAAAAGGTTTTTTTCAAATTTTTTTTTTTACTTTTTAGGTATATGTATGCTAGGTATGTTTAAAAATTAAAAAAATTGCTCAAAATATTTAAAAAATTCAATAAAAACAAAAAAATACGAAAAATAAAAAAATAGAATTTTCTGAAAAGTGTTTTTAAAAAATGATAACCAAACATAGTGATTAATATTAGGAAAAGCAAAATGGTATTTTTTTTTGTATATTTTGCCACAGAAGATGCCACATCAGGGGTACATGTCATTCTGTTTAAATTTGTCGTACAATTGTTTTTTTTAAAGCATATCATTTCTCTCTGGTGCGAATTTATTGAAGAGAAAAAATAATAATAAATTAATTTAACCAGCGTGTCATAAATTCAATTATCTTTAGTTTGATTTTTGCAGAGTATCTACGGACTTATTTGATACATGTGATATGCTAGTGATTGAAAGCATTTTTTGGAAATTTACCTTATATGATTGGGATTTCTCACCATAATAAGTAATAATAATGATAAAAGACTTGATAATTGAAACTTCATTCATTTTCCTAGTGTGGTTAGGATTCTCCTAAGTTTAAATCTCCATAATTTGAGAAGTTCGTAAGACTCATCACAACTCTCGTTTTGATGATTCAAACAATTTATATCATCCACAAATAAAATTTAGTTGATCCGATAATTGTAATTTTTTTATTTTATCATCCACGAATAAAATTTGATTGATCCGATAATTGTAACTTTTTTATTTTATCGCGTTTATCTCTAAAAAAAATAAACAATTCTGTTTTTAAAAATAGACTATCTATTTTTTTAGAAACAAAAATAATAAAATATAAAAATTATAATTATCAAGTCAAATAATCCTATAAAATAGTAAGCTTTATAAACTTTTCATATTAGTGAGCTTCATAAACTCATTAAATTTTCTCAAGTAGATATATTTACTTGAGAAATCCTATCCCTTCACGGTGAGCACCCCGTCACTTCCGTTCATTTTGGCCGTCGTCACTTCCGTTCATTTTGGTTTTGGGAGCTTGTCGAATTGGACTTGGCTTCATCACTATTTTACGGCTTCTAAATATTTGAATTCTCTTCATATCTGCAACAACCATGTAGACAAATTTATGTCTAGTTTGATAATTAATTTTTTTTAGTAATTTTTTAATTTTTTTACAAAAAAAATATGTAAAAAGATAAAAGGAATGGATTGAATAGGAAGTCTTTGGATATGTAAGGTGCATACCATATGTATTTACGTAAGTTTTCACAAATATATATAAGCTATCTCACAAAATTGCACAAGTTCTCATAAATATACGTAAGTTGTGATTTCTTAAATTTTTATGGATTAATTAACTTGCATATACATATGTTTATAAAAATTTATACGATTTTGTGAAATAACTTACGTATATTTGTGAGAACTTACGCAAATATATATGATATGCACTTGCACACTTAATTGCCTAAATTGAATTTTTTTTAATACTTTTTGACTATTTTGATCATTTCCCAAACATCCCTTACATTGCCCACAAGCACAATAACCAAAATAAAACCCATTGTGCCGTAATAAAAGTTGGGAGGAAATCAAATCAAAGAAAAAATAGAATTCCAAAATACAATAAGATTTCGTTTGGCAATTACATGTTTTAGTCAAAAAGTTAAAAAATCATTATAAATTGTCACATCACTCATTTTATTTTTCTGTACATCTTTTTATAAAAAGTTAAAAAGTTACTAAAATAGTTTGTTCCCAAACGAGGCCTAAGCTAATATAAAAATAGCTGATATATATCTTCTATCTATTTATTCTTATATATTATTATAAAGAGAACTATTCCCGTTTTGGCCTTGTGAAAGCCTATCGGACTTACTAGCTAATCAATGGACGTAATGCCTTGAACTGTTCAGCTGTTTGTGTAAGCCAAGACAATAGAATTCACACAGAATATCTCCAGACACAGTTTAGTTCTCATAGTTGTGCCTGTTTTGGCCTTGGGCATCTCCTAGTATTTCATGAGTGTTTTAGAGAATTTTGCCTTATCAATTCTCATAGAAGCGACCCCTTCACACTCATATAGGGGATCCTTATTTCAAGTCTCTTAAATACTCCTCTTGAAGGATATCTGTTTAAGATTTTCAAGATATAAGTGATCATTAAAAACATAGCTTACCCTAAGTTCCCTGCATACAACACATGTTGCAGATATCATTCTCATAATAGGAATGGATGCGAGTTAGACTCCTTTAGTAATTTCTGGCGAGTCACACATAACTTAGTTGTCCCTTTGAACTTAGTTCTTGGGATCTGCAGCCATCTAAGTAGGGTATTATGATGACTCTGATGTAATAGGCTTTAATCACATTCCCCTCGATGAACTTTCCCTCATTTGCTCTCTAGTCAAACTTTTTATTTAGCAGCCACTATCATTCGTTTGACCTTCTTAGTTAAATAGCATGGAGTAGCTAGTGGATCCATTATATTTTCCTCGGACAATATTCACAACTGAAAGCAAATGTCCTACGGTATTAAGTCTTTAATTACATCGAGACTTACCGTTACTCTATGTCACTCTCATTTTCAAATTTAAATAATAAACATAGAATTGTTCCTTAAGAGTTAATGAAACCATTTTTACTTCTACTCCAACTTTGTCCTGTAGAAAGAATTGAGATTATTTGTGAACCTATTATCGAAACCGTTACTTTGGTAAAATCCTCCAAGCACCCCCACATTTTAAGCATTCCAAGGAAACTTAATTTCTCTTGCTGATATATAATTACACAAAAATATTAATACACCCTCACAATTCTGAGGTAAATCAGAATATTGGCGTGCTTGAATTAAATAATAAAACGTAAATGGCTTTGTGAATATAATCACAATACTAATTTGTCTAAAATACAATTAGACTTCATAACTTGCTTTTACAGTACAAAGGAAAAATTGCTAATACCGATTGTGGCCACAACAATTTGTCAAATAATATTTATTTAGCCATGCATTATTTCTTTTTGTTTACTGCAACTTTTAATTCCAATCTCAACATGGAATATAAATATCACTGTATAATTACATTTACATCTTATTTGTCTTATCCAGTATTGGTGACTACGTCGACAATTATCACATTGTCTTTCACCCATAAAATATTTTAATTCATATAATATTTCATTATGGAGTTATCGGTCATCACACCAATTTCACAGTCATTATTCCAAAGAATAGTTAGAAAACACATAAATTCACATTTTTATCAACACTTAGAATTCCTCTTATGTCAAAACACATAAGTCCACATTTTTATCAACACTTTGATAAAAAAATTGGCATCCAATTATAATAAACCACATGCCAAATCGATATATCAAATATATCAGTTAACGACATCATATTACAAGGATTTATAAAATCAATAATGTCTATAGATGACATCTCTTCATCATATCCATACATGAACATTATGATTAACTAATCAAATCAACAGTTCCTCACCAATCTATAATTTCTGAATAACATAATCTGTTTTTTAAGAAAACAAACCAGAAAATCATATATGGATAGGAATTTAATACAGAATAAACATTTTCTATAAAAAAAATAACCAAAAGATTGATTGGAAATTTGTCTTTAACAGATTCTATACGACCAACTTGCGATTACGGTGAATGGAACCAAATGGAATTACGATAGAACGGCAACCGAAACGGAATGCAATTATGACAGGACATTGAATGGGACGTTACACACAACCCACATACTCTCTCTCACTTTCTCTTTCCACGGAGGCATACATCTTTTTCTCTCTCTTTTTTACTCACCAAACACTCACCACATCTTTACCCCCTCTCTCTTTTTCCCCACACAAATCCCAAAGGGACACAGTGAGGGCATTCTTGGATGAGTACACACCAGAAAGGAGTGTTTTATCTAGAATGATTGTGTTGGACAATCTTCACTGTATTTAAATAGATTAAATTCTGTTGTGTACTAAACAATAACCAGAATATAAAGAAATAAATGAAAGGAGAGAATTTGTTTGATTACAAAAATCAAACTAGAAATAAATAAGTATATAAATAAAAATAGATTTTATTTTGTTACAAAAACAAAATTAAAATCTGATTTAATAAACAAATAAAACAGAATAATAAATTAAACAACTTACTTGATTAATTTCTTCTAATAAATATATGATCAAGTCTAGTGTTTGACACTGTGTCCTTAAGACAGATTCGTCCTCTCCACGGTGCTTTCAGAATGTGGACGTCTATCTCCCAGGATGAAATGATCAACTACAAACAATAGTAGCACTACAAATTGTTTGCCTAACAAACACATTTCTTTCAGAAATTAAATGCAGCAAAATGCAAAGATTTATAGCAGAAGATGGAGTACGAAAATTGGAGTAGAAATCCAAATGGGGGGCTAGTCTATTTATAGGCAAAATTGTGGCTATTAGTTTTGAATTAAACAGGTGCAAAACCTGTTCAATTTAAACAGATAGGCACTGTTTGGATAGGTTGAAAACTATTCAGTTTTGAATTTAAACAGATTTAAATTTGTTG